TGGTGAATCTGGGACTAGCTGAAGGAGTCCCGGACAGCCACGCCAGACGCATTGACCACAGGGGCCGGGACTGCAATTCTCCAAGATGTCTGCCCTTGCCCCAAAACCATGTCATTTCCTTGTGGACACACTGGAAAAAAATCCTCTGTGGTGCCCCCTTCCCTCATTGATGCCCTTCAGCACATGCTCATTTTGCTTAGTGGTGAATCTGGGACTAGCTGAAGGAGTCCCGGACAGCCACGCCAGACGCATTGACCACAGGGGCCGGGACTGCAATTCTCCAAGATGTCTGCCCTTGCCCCAAAACCATGTCATTTCCTTGTGGACCAGCCTCGGTGGCATCTCCCCCTTCTGCACTGGCCGGGGCTTCTTCCTTGAGCTTCCCTTCTGAGTCCTACCAACAAGGAAGAACTATTTCGCCGTCAGCATGAAGCACCGTTCTAAACTGGGGGCTCAGCGCCTGGGTAGGACTTTATTTTGGGCGGTGCTTGAAATCGTATCCGATGCAGCTGGAGTCTAAAAACTGTCAGCTAATGCCGAGGGGCAAAATGAGAGCACTTGGAAATGTTATTTTGGGAGGAAACTACAGCTCCCAGAATTCCTTACTATAGCATCACTGGCTGGAAGGATTCTGGGAGATGTAGTCCAATGAAAGAGTAACCTATTTCAGCTCTGTAAAAGGCCTTTTGCAAAAATGATCTCAGACAACCTTAGAACTTCCCTGTAAGGAGCATTAGCGTGGTCTTAATTTTGCAGAGGAAAGGCCAAGCCACTGAAGGAATAGTCTTGGCTTGGGTGAAATTCGAACTCAGAGCTTGGTAGCTCCCACTCTGCACTAACCTCCAGCTGCTCTTATCCTCCTGAAAAAAACAGCCCTGCTGTGAAACGTTCCAACTGCTTCTGTTGGAAGTGGTTTCTTCTCACTCTTTGTTAATTAACATTCACGAAAGGTTTTTTTTCCTGATCTTCATGTGTAAAGTATTACTTATTATTTTGATTCGTGCCCACGGTCTCAAGCCGCATCGCAGGGAGGAATGCCAGCAGATTTTTCGCCTGCCCAGGAAGAAAATCTCCTTTGTCTTTGATCTAACCTTTGCTTTGGAAGCTCTTTCGAGTTGGAACATTTCAATTTCGGAAGATCAAGTTTCTCCTGAAAAACCTCCCTGGGGCCACATAAAGGATTCCTTCTCAAGCAAAATATAAAGATAATAATTCTGTCTATGGGGCGGGGGCAGGGGGGTTGTTTTGTTTTTGCTGGAAAGTCAGTCAGGGCTGAAGAAGGGACGCTCTGCTTCTCT